TTTTTCTTTCATGTATGTCCGCCATATTTAGTCCCCAGGATTTGTAAAGCCTGGCTCAACTCGTTGTGAATGCGATCTAACAGATCCGTGGATCAAATATGGCCGATCCACTTGAATGCTTGTGGCGTAATCCCTGCGGGGAATCTATTAAGTATCTAATTGCCAATGAGCAGCAAGCTTTTAAATAGGTTCCATATTTGATGTGTTAGACCACTGTTCCGAATGCACTAGTAGACTAGTCATTTTCTTATTGATAACTGCAGATGGCCATTACGTATGTTTCACACGAGGCACAAATGTTACAAGCCCATTTCCAATCCTAAGGGGGTTTGGTACATTAGGATTTTTTTCCTTATCTGCTAAGATAATGCACAAATAAATACTGTCATATTATATGATATAATACATTGGGATGAATTTGGTAGGTGGAGCTGATGACATAACAATAGCATTTTTGAATAAAAACTGTAAATCCACTTCAAACAGATCCTCCTCACCTGAAAAGCTAGCTATCAAGTCATTTTAATGCTTAAATAATCCCAATAATAAGTACTACAAACTGGTGTCAGGGAATCCTCTTCAAAGGTTTACTTTTGATTAAATTTATCAGCAAAGCAGTAAAATAATGCCTTTGTTTAGTGGGAAATCGTAATAAGGGGCTCACATCTCCTAAAAGAAATTAGAACCAACGACTGGTACGAGATTGAAGTTCACACCCTCGTCATCATTCATGCCAATTTTCATAATAATAATAACTTCTTACTTAGTAAGATAGTTTCTCTGGAGATCCTTCACTATCTCACACCAATTTACAAAACAGTAAAATTGCATGGCAACTAACACTTGACCCCTCCATGTGCAGATGCATGTGGGTTGGTGAATAAAGCAAGAAAAAATGGAATAAGTGCTCAGTGTTTATTACTTGTGAAACAATTTTCACAAGTATATTGGTCTGCTGTGGATGACAGTAGAAAAGTTTATTTTTACTGCGCTAATAATAAGACAAGTATGTCTCACGTAAAAGAAAAGGGAAAAGGCTACTTTGCCAAGTATAGGGTTTTAGATTGTGTCACAAACCCCCTGAAGAGCATTCTATAAATGCTAATGACATCTCCACTGTAATACGCATTACAATGGGTGGAGACCCATACTTGAACCAAACAGTGACGTCAATCCCCAGGTGAGAACCCCTGCTCCTTCTGTCAACCTCTTGGAGCAATCAGAAAGTGCAAAAGATAACTGCAGATGACAGAAATAAGCATTTCATTCAATTTCAGCCCCCCCCCCCCCCAAAAAAAAAAGAGACATTCCTTGTTTGTTGTCAATCCAAGTTGTCAATCTTTCAAAAATGGACCAGCTAGTCCACTTAAATGCACATAAATGTGAAAAGGAACATATAGTCTCCGAGTGCTCTGACTAAATGAGAACACAGCTTTATTTATTCTCCACCATAAACAAAGCCTCTGGCCAAGATGTACAAACCATAACTTTTCTCTAAAAATAGCTGCACTCAATCTTTAATGGCCTGCACTCTCTCCTACAGTGAAAAGCAACAGAGACTTCCAATGCCTACTGCCCTCTCTGACCCCTAGAATGCTGCTGATGTTGAGACATTATGGCCCTTTTCGCAATCAGTTGATCCCTGGACTAACTAGACTGCAGTTCAAATATGGCGCTCACTTGACAATGGATTCCTGCCTCCCATGCGTGCTGCTCCAGCAGGGGCAGAGCAATTAAATGTCGGCACGCTTTCAGGTGGGTCGCGCCATATTTCATCTGTGGATGAATAAGTTGTGAATATGGCCTGTGATATTGGATGAAAAAAATAGGAAGATCAGAAGATATTAAACCTAACTGCAGACTGCACAAAACAAATGTGAAGTTCAGAAGTTAAAAACTGGAGACAGAGTCTTGAATATTCCATATCACTTATCTAAGGTTATTAAATTCCTTCTTCCTTTTATGATCTTTTTTGACAATTAATCAATTAACAAAGTCTCATAAAGAAATGAAAAATGTGCCATTTAGTGCAATTTTTGTATGCATAATCTCTAAAATCAACTAATATATATGTAAATCAGATTAAAACTGCTGGTCACCCCACTATAAGCTTCAAAGCATCTCATAATGAACATCAACTGAAGATAATTTTGCTTACTCACTGTATAAAGAGATTTTCTAAAATTTAGAGCTTTGGTGCAAATTGATTACTACACATCGAAACAAATATCATAATAATTTCATATAAATTCCTTTTAAAATTCTCTTTGCATTCTCAAGCCACGTTTAGGCTTCCTAAAAACACTTATGAAGAATCAATATGTAAATTGCAGTGCAAACAATTGTTAAAACAATCACTGATATTTCAGGCCTGTTTCCGTCATAATCAATATTCATTATTAATTAATCCTTCCTTCCTTTTTTACACTTGAATTCTATTAACCTTTCTTTAAAATTTCCAAAAACCCTTAAATTTGTTTTACTTGTAAAATAAAATTTCATTTTGTTTGAGTGCAACACAATTAGTATGCAAAAGCAGTAAAATATATATATATGCCTTAAGCCACTTTTCAAAGCTTATAATACTTTCTAATATATTTCCCTTTGCCTGCGTCATTACTGACTTCCTTGTACCATACACAACTGCAAGCATGTCTCACCTGGCTCTATTCCCATAGATTTTAGATCGATCTATCCCCGCGGGGAGTCTCACTAGATTACTTTCAGATTATCCGACTTAAATGTCCGTCCCGCTTATTACAAGCCATAAGAGGGTAATTAACTTTCGTGTCTGCCCGGCTGACAGCTATTTAGCGTGAACCCCCAGGGAGTTAGGTCGATCTAAAGTAGGTCGATCTAATCTATGGAAATGGGTGACCTGACAGCAGAAATAGTACTTTTGTGAATCTCTGTTCTGTAGACCCCTTCCCCTCTATCATCCTCTAAACTAATATAAACAACGTATATAAATTAATAATACGAAAATGCAAGCCCACATGCACATGCTTCTGTACGTGTGCACATGAGTCTACACGGAAATACGCATACACAATAATGTAATCAGACACATAAACACATATATTAGCTTGCACTACCCCCCCTACCCCAACCCCACTCCCAAAAACACACATACCCATGTACGTACACACACACGCACGCATGCATGCAGGCACACACACACACACACACACACACACACACACACACACACACCAAATTGGATTTGTGTACTGGAAGAAAAAAAAAGGTGATAAAGTGAAACTATTCCATTGCGATCGTGGATAATTCTCAGTGTTTAAGTTAACTTTCAATCATCAAGCACATCTTTGCTGTCATATTTCAGAGGAGGGGTCCAAACTGTTGTGTAAGAAATCACTCTTTTATGGAGAAGGTTCACAGTTAACTTTTTGAACTAGGGCAATGACCTAACAAATAACACACACACACTGATGTGGCCAGAGACAACCACTTCTCTGTAATTTAAGGCCAAATTAAGTAAAGCCAAGTAGAATGTGTGCTCATACTGACATTTAAAACTTGCAGGTTAATTTGACAATAAATGAGCACAGCCGCAGGTGCCAGCTATTTGTTGCATATGAATAAACAGGTACAGACTTACACCATCGATAGAGAGCAAGAAATTTATCACTGACGCTTCTGTTGCTTTTCATCTTTTTTTCCCCTCCTTACAACTGATGTCAATTTCGAGTTTTAGATTTTGTGTAATTTAATGATGTGCGGGGTTTAATCTTCACTGTTGCTATTGTTCTATTTTCTTTTTTTTCTCTCTCTGTTCAACTGTATTCAATTTAAATTTTCAGATTTTGTTTTTCGATAAAGCATGGATTTTATCATTGCTGTTTTTATAGTTGGCTAGGGTTTTTTCTCTCACGGAGTCAAGTCTTCTTTGTTTTATATTTTGAATTATAAAGAAGTTAAACATAAGATTAATTCCATTTTTAATTTATAATATGCACTCTCACTTATTTCTGTCTTAACAACTTATTTATACTTTAGAGTTACTAATGATTCTGCCATCTCACAACCATTACTAATCCAATAAAAAAAGATATCTGAAAAACTTTTGTCCTTCAAATACTATTTTGTTCTCACAGCTTCCCCATTTGAAGACTTATGCGATGCTGTCAATCCAACAAAATAAACATAAACAACAAATAGGGTAAACAACTAATGGTCCCAAAATATCAGCAATGAACCATAGCACACTTTTCAGCCCAATTTTAACACTGATGTATGTAAAAGCCTCATCATGCTATGCCTAACAATGACGTAACATTAGGGTGCTGAGAGGTTACTGACGTATATCTTTAATCTAAAAGATAATAAACAACTAGTATAAATCAAAGAAGAACACATTTGTCGGAAAGCAACATGGTCTAGCTTTCCTCCTGGGGCAGTGAAAATTGCGTCTAAAAGACACAAGAGGAACCTTACTGCTACTATCGAGTTCAAAAATGTCAAACTTGAATCAACTCTCCCAACTGAATTATTCGCTCTCTCTTTTTAAACTGATATATATCATGGGCAACTTTCAGTAACAACAATAATTCATTCTCACCAATATAATAAATAAAATCCAGTTGTAAATCACATGTTAAGTCTGGGATTTTTTTCTCAACTTCTAACTGCCACATATATAATAGGCAGGAGTTAAATATCCACCTTGCTAGACTCGGGTAAAATAATGCATGGAAAATTGGAAAGGTGAAAAAAAAAACACTGACATTTTGTTGCAAACACAGTGCAACTCAAGTGCGTGTGCACTTACTAGGCTGAGGCCAAAATAAGACAATGAAGACAAAGGTTGTACAGAATTCAGAATACCTTCAAAGAGGTTATTTAGTATGAGTAAAAAATTGTTTGTGTAAGCCATAAGTCAAAACTGACCACACAACTGACCACATTCCTAAGAGGTAACACCTGTACTACACCTGTAGCTGCTGCAGGTGAAGGATGTTTAAAAATGGACATCTACATGCAACTACTGGTCTCCTGCGCTTTTTTAAAAATAAATGACCCATCTCATAACCTGTTTCCTCCTCTTTTGAAGCAAAATAAAAAATACATGTAGGCACAGAATAGTAAAAATAAAACATGCAAGTAATGCAAGGCAATAATACTATAATTAACCAACACATTAATAAAACATCAGATTTCCAATGATGGATTCCCATTTAAAGAAAAAAGAAAGGAAATTTCTTCTGATGAATACCAGAACAAGTCCCAATAAGCAGATCACCCAAACCACAACAGGTCTCACTCATTTGGTTCTCTGTGTATTATTGCTGAAAAACTAATGAAAAAAATCCCCAATCTCCCACTCTACCACAATGTCTCCCACATATAGATACCAAAATATATCTCATAATTGCTCTCTCCATATCCAACCCGTATCCTTGGCCCACAAAATGAATATCTCAAAAAAAAAAAGTCAATATCAATATTCATATCCAAAACATTTCCTGCACCCACGCCTAAATTTAAAAAGCATGATAACCAACTTATGGTATCAACGTTATTTACAGTGTATTGTGCATATTTATGATAATATAGTTGCAGTGACTTTGTTGACCGTCTCATCCCCCCCCCCTCCCCCACACACACACACACGTCAATACCACCATATTGCTGAATCTCCCTTCTTTCCCACTTTCCCACAATTTCTTGTCCCCTCCCTTCTGTGGCCAGTATATGTTACAAACACATTTCTCAAGAGAATAGAAAGATCTCTTATTGACTTCTCAGGCTACATGTAATCATGTAGTGTGTGTGCATTCATGTAGTTTATGTTATTTATCTGTAGTGCATATATAAGCTGCCTACTTATCCCCCTTTCCATTGGCACCCCCTCCAGGACCAAGCACTGTTCAAAACCTGAATAGAATCATTTCCACATCTAAATAACTAAATAAATAATTTAATAATTTAATGGATCAATTGTATGAATGAATGAGTGGATGATTGGATACTAATAAATAAAATATTCTTGACTTAAATATGACCTGCAGCTTTACAACAACTTGGAAAATCCTTGCTGGAGCCTGAAGCATTGATTCTACATGTGGATGCAATATAATGAGGTGCGTAGGCGTACAGTAGACTAAGCTAGCTGCTTGACGCGGCCTGATCAATGACTGATTACAGCATCTGTGTGGGCTGCTACAGCACAGTGCCAGCCAATAGTCCAAGGTTACAACAATAACATTTAGGAAGTAGGCCTACAATTCATGTTAAAGACACAGTGAGAATTAAAGTGACATTTGTCAGGAAAAAAAGGGTTTAAAAATTGGGTTTATAATGGTGGTGAGAGGTGATATGGAAAATTGCAGATTCATTGATCCTCTGGTTGAACTCTTTCTTACATCATTTTTTGTGGCTGTTGCTCTTTATAGAAGGTCAAAGATATAATCAGTAGGATGAACTGCTTAAATTAAATACATTTTTTTGTCAAAAAAGAGGTTTGCAGGGCTCTACTACATTATGCTGAAACCATAGGGACTAATTTCATACTTCACTTACTGTTTATGCAAGAGTTGTGCAAAAATATACAGCAACTAAATGTGACTTTAAACTGTGATTTTTTTCCAATATGCAGCAAGTTGGTTATTCACTCTCCTACTGATATAATATGGCTAGGAAAACAAGATCAAGTCTATGTATATGCATTATAACAAAATCACAATACAAATGAACTAGGTTATTACTTCTATTCTGAGCCATCCACAATATAAAAAAATTACTAGACACCTTCAAGCATGCGATTGGTTAATAATATGGGAACTTTATATGATGCAGGACCGTGTATTCATTGCATTCACTATCCCCCTTTTTTAAAATCCTAACCAAATAATTATATATAATGCATTAATTTTATTCTGATAATAGCTAGGAGTATTCAACATTTTCAAACTTCTTTCAGCACCAGTATTATATCTCTTAGGACTGCAGATGTACTGCCATGTTTTCAGAGGGTTCTATCCATGTTATTACACTACAGGGGTCTTAACTTCCTTTCACACATTCTTCTGTTTAAGCAGAAGTCCAGAGTCAAGCAAGCGATCTCTGTTTAGGTGGCTCTCTTCTGTAATTATTATTGCCAGGATATTTTAATATCGTTAAAATTTGCCAATCCCTCATAAGACACCAATAAAGTTCTATGGACAAAGCAACAACATTCAATGTACAATGTTGACTTAAAAGTGTTTAAGCTTTTGGAGTACAGAGTGTTCCAAACTCATCTCATCTCAGGGCCACTACCCATTAAATTAAGAGAGCAAGATTTTCAAACAGCCCTGACATTGTGTTAGTTGTGATATGTTTCAGTGAACACAATCTGTACAACCTGGCACATTCTCTTCAGCACACACACACACACACACACACACCAGCTCCTACCTTTCTAAACACCTCCAGTTGCTGGTCCAACAGGGTCTTCCACTCCTGTTTCTCACTGGCAGAGAGTGCTCTCATACATAGACTGTCTGGCTCACCCTGCTCCTCCTCCTGGAGCTTGAACACAAACTCTGCATCTGTAACATACAGCTGAAAGTAAGGGCTTGTCTATTGCCAAGTGAGCCTTATACACCATGTAACTTCAAATAAACACATAAATTGTCTTTGAATACATATAAAGGCATCTTTTGGAATCCATGAGGTGTATTTCCCACAACCAATCAAATCAAGTGTTTGTGATCAGCCGCTCCCCCCCCCCCCCCCCCCGACTCCCCTTAGGAACCAGGTCCACATAAGACAAAGTTCACTCCACTTACTGTTCTTCCTGTTATAGTCAATGTCAGTGACAGCCTTGAACAGAATGGGTTGTTCTACCACAATAAGACTTCCCTCTGGCTCAGGAACAGTTAACAGTAACAGGTCTGAGAACAACAAGGCATAAAGCTGAAATAATACAAATACAGGTAAGATTAGGTATGAAAGTTAAAAAAAAAAATATTTTAGACACTGAATTTTCATAGTTTCTCTAATAGGTGATTAATAAAAAAGGATGAGATAACAAAGAAAATAGGCCAAAAAACAAAAATTTGAAAATAATTAAATTCTCTGCTGTACCTGTATCCATTTTCTTCCCTCTACCTTCAGTAACTGCCCAGTGTGGATGAGATGTCTCTTTGGATCATACAACTGGAAGACCTGGAACATGTGTATAAATATAGTATAAAAGGATGGAGGGGAACGTGAGACCATTAATAATTTTACTTTAATATTCATTTTTCCTGTGATACTAAGTATAATATCCTTACACTGTATAAGAAGCTTTATACTTATCTGGCATGTTTGCCTATGGTTTGGTGTCCTTTTTATGACCATCTTAGCATGCGCATATAGGGCATGTGTGCACACACATGAGAGAGAGAGAGAGAGAGAGAGAGAGAGAGAGATTGACTCACTGGAACATTCTGAGCAAAGCACAGCCTATTCTGTATGTCCAGTACTTGCTGGTTTGTGATAAGGTTACTTCTGCTGCTGTTGGAAGAAGAATTGGGCGTGGAAGTAGCTGGCTGGTTGGAGGACTGAAGACTTGGTGCAGGAAGACTCCCACTGTAGATCCTGTTACAGCAACTCCTTAATCCTGAAAAAGCGCCACAATAAATAAAGCATTCTACAGAACACACACCCCTGCCAAGATAACTCAGTTCTTATTATTATCAATTTATCAATAAACAGATTATGACTAAATAAACTCATCTCTGACCTCTCCTGGATATTTTACCAAAATCCGTTCATAACTTTGAGCTAGGTTGTTAACTAACAAACCAAGAGAGGCAAAAACTCCTTGATTGAGGTAATAATCAGCAAAATATAAGAGCCTCAAACTTTGATGAGACTGGGGAGCGCTTCTTGCAGAGAATAGTGCCAACAAAATGCGTCAACAAAATCCTTCACCCCCCCACTCCCCAAGTCAGATATCATCATTTTTAAGGTAATATAAAAATCTAACTAAGTATAATAAAATAATTTAACATATACCATTTAGCATTTCACAGCTCAAATAAACATTGCTTTTCACATTTTTTCACTTAAAATTTTACTAATAGGGCATTTATTAATACCTTCCACTGTTTTCTGTAGCTGTGCCTGGTCATGGTGTTCTAGCGGTGTAAGACTAAGGATACTTTGAAGAAGTATCAGCAACTGCCGCAGGTGCTATAATTAACAAGAACCAATCATAGATAGACCTCCAGATATAAAGAACAATCATGAACATGGGCATCTGCAGGGGGGGTCGATGGGGTCACTTGACCCCCCCCCCCTGGAATTTTGGCAGGCACGTTACTTGCGGGTACCCAGCCAATCATTATCTCCCTCTTCAATGACTTTGACCCCCCTGGAAAATTTTCTGTGGACAGCCATGATCATGAAGCCTTAATTGTCTAGTCTATAAACTACTTTCTGTAGAAATCCATTAGCATGATGCACCAAGAAACCAATGTTAAAGAAATTTTAGTTTAAATGACAATTATATATGAAATATCTGATTGATAATAATAATAAAAAGCAGAACTGACTTACCTCTGGTGGATAGTGAAGGAATGACAAGAGATCAGGACCATCAATACTTTCTATCTGCTGCTTCTGAAAAAAAAGTCAATCAATATTTAACTCATTTATAAGTTACTTGATTATATTCTGAGATAAATAAATAATCTTAACAGGTTCTGGCATAATTTTTACAAAAAGACTTTGACTTCATAATTTTGCATTTACAGGTGCTTCCTCATCTCCAATAGGTGATGCAGAACATCGACTACTTTTGATATGCTTAAAGATGAGATATTCTGTGAAAGATAATAAATGTGTATAGAAAAAATATTCTTTTGAATCATTTTTCACATAATTGATCAAGTACCTGGATAAATTTGGCAAATTCTTGGTTTGCTGAAAGTTGTTTGAGCAACTGCACTGCATCAGGTAGACCTTTGCAGTAAGTTTCATAACTTTCACTTACAACTGAGATCTGAAAGGAAAAGAAAGTTTAATGTTGTAGGATTGTGATATTGCACTATGGTTCTTTCTTTTCACCCTGAGTATCAGAGGGAGCTGGGAACTCATCTACTTAATGTATTCCCGTGCCTTTGATAGAAGAAATTGAGGTAAGTCCCCAGTGATGTCACAGTCCCAGGGTGACCTTTTGCATTATACAATAACTCAGAAATCAGAAATGATAATTTCATTTTTCATCATTAAAAAATTCTGTCAAACAAAACTTCACCTTATCTAAACAAATTATTGTATCACTGCACTGAAATCACTCATATATTTTAAATAATAAAATATTTTCAAGAGAAAAGGCATCTTTAACAGAATAATTTACCTTATTGTGATAAATTGAGCCCACTGCATCTATGTACCCCTGGGTTTTAAACTGTTCCCCAGGGTAAGAGACCTGATGGCTGTGGAGCTGATTGACTAGGTATTGAGATATGGCAACAATCTAGAGAGAGAACAGTTGACAGCAAGGTTAGGAACTGGAAATTCATGTATTTGAAATAGCATCTGGCCACACACACATACAGAGAGAGAGCATATAACTATGGTGGTCTTTGACAGTAAATAAAGCCCACATTCGTTTATTCATGCTCCATTTTTAAAAATAACACACTACATTCCTAAAGCAGACCAGTATTATTTAGCAAATAGTTTTACAAAACTATTTCTAGTCCATTTAAAAAACGTGTGTAAGTTAGTGTATAAAAACAGTATGTCAAATTAAGTTACTTAGTTATAATAATGATTTAAAAAAATACACATTTTCTGGACTGTACAATATAAGTAAACAACATACTTTTTCCACATTCTGGAACATAGTGGAATGCTGTAGTTGTGTCATGTTCTGATGGCGCAATGGTCGTGAGTAGCGCTGCACACCTGCATGCATGCTGTTCGTAAAAATTTCTTCACATGCAATAAGCTTCTGAATGGCCTGCTGGCGCTTTTGATCACTGGCGCTGAGATCCTGAAAGTAAGTAAATAAACGAATTTAATTTTATAATAAATAAACTAAAAATCTGACAAAAAGTGCTGATGGTGGTTTCAACCCAAATAAATTTATTTAATTATAAAAATTGAAAAGTAATTATTTGCTTGACAAGGACTAAATCCTTAAAAAACAAGGGAATAGAACCTTTCATTCTTTGTGCATTAAACTTGGTGAAAATTTATAGCTGTCTTAATTTGCTAAGAAAAAAATACTAGGAAGAAATGGCTCAGTGGGCTTACAACTAGTGTTTGGTCAGAAAACTGCTGCAGAAAAATTCTCACATTTCTAATTTAAACCAAAAAGAAAACCACATCTGTAAGAAAAAGACTATTGATTATTCATAACTGCTGGACTGATTGCGGGTCTATTACCTGGAAAGCCTGAGATAACTGAGGTAAAGCCATGGTGGTGCCCTGGGAGTGGCGCTGAGGAGCAGACACATCTATAGCATTCTCTTTACACTGCTCTTCCTGAAACCCCAGGAAGTCATAATAAACTTTGAAACCTTGCTCAGTTTTAGTCTTGTTGTTACTGGGACCACTACTCCCATTCCTGAGTATCCCTCCTGGTTTTGCTTGATTAGTGTGGTCTGTCTCGTTGCTACCATTGTTCTTTAGTATCCCTCCTGGTTTTGTCTGGTTGGTTGTTTGGCCATTTTCTAACTCTGTGTGGTTCCAAGTCACCCTTGGCTGTTCTTTGTTGGAAGGACCATTATTTGTAGGCTTGTGATTTTCTGTATAATTGCCCTGAATTTTGCGTGACATTCCCATTTCCTGTGATGGAGATTCATTGGGAGGCACAGGGAACTGGGATGGAACAGGTTTGTATTCCTGATGTTTTTTGTGCATTGGCACCTGTTCTTTGTTGGACGGAAATCCATGTAATTCGTAAATCACTCCATATCCCTGTGGAATATTTGAGTTTTGAATGCCATGTTGGGAAGTTGTCTGCTGATGCTGTGGATGATTATGATGATTGTTTTGGGAATGTGAATGAGCTTTCTGCCACCCTTGTGGATCCTGATCATTATGAACACCTTGGGAAACAAGCTGCTGCTCATGCAGGGAATGTCGTTGAGATTTTTGTCGACCCTGTACATCCTGAGAATTCCTTTTGGAAGGAGACCTTTGGGAATTTGACCTACGTAATCCATCCCTTCGTACCTGAACATCTTTCTCGTTGGCTTCTCTCATGCTCACTCCTCTGATGACTTGCCTAGAAATCTGCCTACTCTCACCACTTGGCTTCTTACAGTCTGCCCCATCGATGACATTGTCCACAGACAACTGTCTTTCAATTGGATCATCCTGCTCGGGAGACTGTCCATTCCTGTCCTTCCTCACACCAAACTTTCTCGGGGAACTGGTCAGTGTTGGGACTCTCCTCGGTCGCTGGACGTCCACTATGATTTGATTGCTGGAGTGCCTAGAATTTGGAATGATGACAGGTCAGTGGGGTTCTATAAGTAGAACTAGGTTCTAGATTTTGGTACTGCCAGCTCGATCTTGATTTCATATATAAGCCACATCAGCAATACTGCCTCTAGCTGTAAAGCTAACACATGGAAAGGTAAAGTGAGCAAGTTAGCTATAGAGTGCCCTGATACTCAGAGCAACTGTACAGGACCACTTTCTGGATCATATAAATTAATCAATTATTCAATAAATAAATAAATAAGTAAAGACAATCCCCACTTACCTGACCAACCTGACGACACTCTCTGCAGTGGACCTGGACACATTTTGACTGTTTATTTGCACTATGTAGTCACCTGTCCTTAAACCTGATGACCATGCTTCAGAGGCTACAAATCAAATGTTGCATACTTTAATATAGCTTCAGCATTAACCAAACAACATATGGAGATAGAAAACTTTAACATTGTTATGCAGGCATTTACCTTAGTTTGTATTTATCAAAACAAAATAATAAAACTTTACAGTTTTACAGTTAACAAGAAGTGATCTATTTTAGGAAATTACTTGGAGATTTGTGTAAAATACATAAAAATGACATTAGATAGTTGTATAAAACATTAATGAATGCCTCATAATTAAAAGCACTATTTGACTGATCCCAAACCATGTGAGAGCAGGATATTATGTGATAGCTGAAGATAATGCAGCTCTGTCATTGTTTTAGATGTGACAGTGGGTGAGACTGAGCACAATGCAACTTACATTGCTCTACTCTGCCAACTCTTACTGGACATGATCCAACCACTGTGAAGCCAAACCCTCTCTCACCACGCCTTAAACACACCTGATATTGAGAGGGAAATAAATAAATAAATAAATAAATACTATTAAGATAATACAACACTTAACAGTGACAACAGATTACGGAAAACTGAAGTGAACAAATATGTAATACATTGAACTGACGAATGAGGCATATCTAATGATATTGATATTACAGAAAATACAGAAATAATATAACAAACAGGACACAGCTTCTAGCAAATTTTTCATATGTAGCCCAAAATGTAATCAATCAAATTATTTAACTAAATCTTCTATTGTTAAAACATCACTATATTGATAAGGTATAAAACCATAATTAATTAGCTGAAATAGCCTTTAATAGCCTTCATCAGCTAATGAAGCCTCATTTGAATGTTTGTTGAGTAAATCACAAGTAGGGGTGCACAGTTCAATAGCTGATTTTGGAGGGGGAGGGGGGGGGCTAAGTTTCTGAGGTACCCCTTTCTCCCTCCAAAAATGTAAGTATGAAACCAAACCAAGTCATTTTTCTATCTCTGTGCTCTACATGTCAGGGCAAAGTTGTCCTTGACTACTAATTTATGTTTCATCTCTTCACTTGTCAAATTTTTTATCCTTTTGCACCCCCCTCCTCTACCCCCCATATCCCACCCTGACAACAAAATCCAGAGATGAGTTGATTAAAGTTTGCTACTTACTGTCAGTGACTCCATCCACAGCACATCTGAGTGCACTTTGGGTATGTGCTGATAGGCTGAAAGTAAAAATGGAAAAGTTTTTTATGATGCAACAAGAACAAATTATACCAATAATTAAATCATGTATGTTTTAGGAGGGCATTGGTCTTGAAAACTTGAAAATTTTAAAAAACTGAAGTAGAAGTAATGTCACACTATGTATTGTGTTTCAATACTTTCAAAATAAAACCTCAAAATAATAACACACAGCATGAATCAAATTTATGTACAAATAGGTGCTTACTCTGCTTGATACAAAAATGCAATTTTGCCATAAGCAAACCCTAAAGCCGGCACATGACTGAACATGCTTCAGGTACAATATGGCCGTAAAGAAAGCATGCTTACGTCTGAACAGGTGAATCCCCAAGCTGCATGACTCATTCAACCTATTCTGTACGCTTTTAATTCAAATTACCGACATAAAAATTCTCTTCAATCTAAACGGAAGAAATATGCACCACTATATCAATCTTGTTCACAGATCAAAAATTTCTCCCACAAACTCGAGAATGAAAGCTTTTATAATTCTATTGTTAGTATTTCATCAAAAAATCCAAATTTTGCATGTGGGGAGAACATAAGATAATTGAAATTGACCTCATGTCACTAACCTTTTGTTTGTACTTTGCAAATGCCGGGAGTAAATTTGAGATGTTTTTGTCGTCCTATCTCCTCAGATAACAAGAAGTACCAGCCCCCGATTTCCTTCAGTGACAAAAAGGAGCAAATATTTGAGAAAAAAATTATTGTCAAAGTATGCTAACAAATTTTTATAGACAATTCAAGGCAAAGTAATTGTCACCATGAAAGCTGTAACAAAGGCCTCTATTTCTTGTGTTAATTATAGTATTTACATCTGGACTGAATTTCTCATGAGAAAAATCGTAATCTACTAGTGCTTTATATTCAGATAAATATAACACAATATGACTGTCAGAACATAAAGTGAAAGAATATCCTTTTAATTACTTGTACTGTACATCAATTTTCTACCTGTCAACGAAGATGTGACAGAAAAAAGTCTACTTATAAACACCCTGGATATCCCATCTGCTTTATATATATATGCTTTGTATGCCATATTGGCAAAACTATTGGGAAACCGCTTGTGTTGTGAATACAGTTTTGTTATACAGGGTGCTTAGAAGTGACTATATATTAAACTTTTGTGAATTTACCTTCTTTGATTTGACCAACTTCTTGATCCCAAATGACATACATCCTAGCAGCTCACTGAAAACATATTACAGCAGGCTTTAACTACTGAAGTTATGGCAATTTAACACTTTCACAGACCATAAAACCCATCTGAAAGTCAAATTTTTCTCCCCTGGCCTCATTAAAGTCTTTTTTCTCCTGACATGCCGGGCTATCATAAAACTTCCAAAATGGTTTTCTTTCATTAAAGGCCAATCACACAGTGCAGAAAATTGAAACAAGATCTGTAGCAATGGCACTTGTGGATCCAAGATTTTACTGGGGAGGTAGGGGGGCACACAAGGATAAACTATAAAATAGTAGAAGAGGGCAATTTTACTGTAATGTGTGGGGAGGAGGGATGCAATAATTGCTTAGTATTGTCTTGCTCCATTTGATATACAAATTTAGGGAGGGGAATGGAGGGGGGGGCTCCAAAGCAAAGGAAAGGTTGCACACTGTATACTAATTTTTGGAGGGATATGGGGGATTTACAGGGCAAAGGGGGGGGGGCACACACCATTGCCCCCCCCCTGGCTATACCACTGGATGTGCAAGTCACTTCAATCCCTATGCTTAGGTAGCCTAGTGCAGGGCTGACAACCAACAGATAACTAGAATCAATATAATTTGGCATCAAGAAAAACATAGAAGGGCCAATTTATCCATGTACATTTTTTTTTTCATAAAAGCTTACCTTTCAGATTTTCTTCTGTGCCATACAGACAATATTAGTCTCTTGTCTTGATCCTCTGGTAATATCTCACTGAAATGTAATAAAAAATAATGTAAATAAATCTAAAATCAAATCCTTAATTGTCTTCCAAAAAATTCTCAAAATGGATGGCTAAAAACTCTCTTATACCAAAGGACGAATCAGGAAACCCTTGCTGGATGTCAAGAACAAAAAAGCCAGATGGTGCACCTACATGTAGCATACATCTTGCTGACTTGTGCCATATCTGTTTAAAATACGACTGTTTCAATTGCATAACGTGAACAATTTCCTTTATGATATACTTTTGCTAAAAGCGGAACTATGAATTTCAATGGTGTCATCTCTATAGTGTATTTTATGAACAATACCAGCAATTTTAGTCATAATTGCTTTTCTCGATAATATTGGATTAACCTCCATCCACAATATTATATATGGGTCTACATACACTCACATTTCAGGATGACTGTAATACAGTAACCTAGTCCATCATCAGTTTTATTTTGACTAGGTTTATCATTGCTATGATCTATACACAAAACATTCTTTAGGAATGTCAGATACCAGAGATCATCTTGCTATAAAAATATATCTTCCAGCAATGAGCATATCATGGCCTAGGGCATGTAGAGGCCTGTCACTGCCGGAGGCTCTTGTTACTGGCTGGTATGTGTGTCAGCCTTAGCCATATGCCATTTGGTGTGTGTCACCGGTGTGTGTGAGTGTGTGTGTGTGTGTATGTGTGTGCGCGTGTGTGTGTGTAAGTTTGTGTGTGTGTGTGTGTGTGTGTGTGTGTGAGAGAGAGAGAGAGTCTGTTTTACATTTCTTGACCAACAAACAATGAAAGATTTAACTTTTGAAATTGAATTCAACTTATCAAACCCAAACACTTTACAGCCAGATTTTTTACAACACTTAACATAGACAGGTATACTATATACATCACTGTACTTCTTCTCTACCCAGCTACAATCAACCATACCATGTCTTCTTTTCCATATGTGAAAAAAAAAATCTTACCATTCAAATCAGGAAGTAAATCAAACTTGTAGTAATATGAAAACTATGCAGACTCCAGCTAGTCTTGAAGTTAAATTCATCCTACGCACGTGGAGCCCAACTGCTGACACAAGCATACAATTAAATGGCAGTAAAAATTACTCCGTATTTTGCTGATTACTATCAGATGGATAATAACCGGCTGCCGGGGATTGAAATGATCACTTACAATAGGTAGTTATGCCACAGGTATGCAGACAGAGAGAGTTAGAGAGAGTAAGTTATCATTTCAATTATTACAGAGGAGATGGAAAGATAAAGAGACACAGCAGTGAGTTTCCTTCTGTGGGCTTTTGCATAACCCTTAACCTAACTCTCCCCCCTATCCCTACGGTAATGTGCCAAGCATTTCGACGGGCCCAGTCAATCCGACCAAAAAAATTATATTATAAAATTAATTTTTCTGGGCTCAAACATTTAGTCCATACGTGAAAATCATGCGACAGAATTTTTTTCTTGTTCCGATTGTTCGACCACATCGTCGGCAGGACTCGGTAAATTTTCAAGCCAGTCATATAGATGCTGCATGCCGGGCCCTTTGTCAATTGTTGTCCTTTCAATAGCTCTCGTCAATGAGGAAGAAACTATTAATTGAAGATCTAATCTGGAAGCATGACGTACCTGTCATTTCCTTTGTCCCCGATGACAAAAAAGTGTTATAGACATACAATTTGTGCTAATTAAGCAGACTTGCCCTTCTGGATGAAACCAAATATCGACAGTGGGTAGAATACGTCGTAAACACCTTCATATAGACCATATATAGCGTTTGCTAGCAATAAAAAGTTTGGGAAGAATAAGCAATTTATTTTCAAGTTTGATTGAAAATATATGCAGATGGGGAAACGTTCTTGAAGTCAAAACAGCAAGATCTAACATTTACTACAATCGACCGAAAGATCAGCGGGATCGACCGCCCAGACTTCTTGGCGCCAAATACTACGCGCTGTCAAAAGNTACGCTCTTTCACGAGCTTTACGTCGTCACACGGCGCTTATTAGCTACAACACGAATAACATGAGTAGCACGAGTTTCGCTGGTTCATATGTATTTGTTTCCTGTTACACACCCTTGGTAATAGGTACAGCTAAGTACTTTTCTATTTCTTTAACGGTAAACTTTGCTTAGGAAACAAAGAAAACGACCCGATTAGTTATAACTTCCGATAAAATGGCCAGTTTCTGTACGTTCTACGCATCGAAGCGAGTCAAAATGGCGGACTCCTAAATTGTTAGTTGATATCGACTAATTGACACAATAAGATTCTTATGGTTAGGTGTTACTCGTACAGACAGTTACGAATGAATTATGCGTTTAATGGTAGTATATGCAATTCCCTATCTTCTCCTACCACCGTGAGTCGTGGGAAAACATCCACTTTTGTTCGGCTGCATCCTGTACCGGACAACATGGCGCCTCCGGATACGCTTACGTAATCATTAATTGCTTGCACATGCCGGGTGGTCAGATATATGCTTTGATGCCTCGACACCCTGGGAGAAGCAAAAATTTTATACATCCAGATCTAGGATTATTAATAATAATAATAATTTATTCGAGCATTAAATATGACAGTTACATTTGTTAGCCCTCTATACTACAAATAGATGGATAAATAAATAGTTATACAGCACTATGGATTACTACTTATACAGTGTTTTAAGAATATTTATTACAGTGTATAATTATAACAATTGTAAAAAGTTCACTATTAACTAATGTTAACTAACGTTGAGGGATCACATCTGCACCCCCCCCCCCCCTTTTTTATCTCTATATTGCTAGATTCTTAATACCATAAGCTTTATTAGGGGCTGGTAATGCCTTGCCTTTACCCTAATTTATTATGTTTCAGATAGTTGCATGCCTTTAAGTTTCCTTAATATGGAAATTATGATAACTGGTCGCAGTCTTATTAGAGGATTAGAACAGGAAGCCCCTCCAAATCTCAACCCCCATCCAGGAGGGTTTAGTGTTCAATGGCTATGGAAAAAGTGGAGCCCGATTGGGCCATTTTCTGTCCAGTGATGACTTCCCAGAATGACCTCCTAGAACCTCCTTCAATTGGGTGGAAATTATGTGCGAGCCCCCCGCCCCCCCTTCGATGCGCAACAAATTACAAGCAAGATAGTATCACTCAACCTATGCATTCAGGACTTAAATCCAGATGCTGTGATTTTCTGGGACAGCTCCTATTTCGATCTGCGCCCAGCTGCGGATATCTCCCAACGAAAGCTGACCAGGACAGTTATTACGAATGTGTCAGGCAACTGAATAAGACCTTACAGGAAACTTTCAAAGGACAGGCTAAGGTCCACTTTCTTCGGCATGTGGGTGCCACCGAACAATGGGAGAACAATCCGTCAAGAAGGGGTACACATGAATGAGTTAGGCACTCGTATGCTATGATGATCTTTCCGAGGCTACAGCATGTTGCCGCTTTTCTATTACTTAAACTGCATAAATACAGATCGGGCCAAAACGCATGGCCGCTTTAAGCCAAATGCAAACATGCTATAGCTTGATTTATACTTGATTTATAGTTACATTCACATACGTTTACTTCGCCATTGACTCGCCACCATATTTACCGACTTATGTATATGAGTAGCTTAAGCTTACGATGTGCCTTCAACAATTGGTATGCGAACGACTTTGATCTCGATCAGTGAGCCCATCAGGCGGCTGCTTTCTCTTGTGACTATAAGGGCTACAACATGTTACTGCTTTTCTATTACTTATGATACATCGATACAGCCTGGGCCACAATGCGTGGCCTCATTATGCCAGGTGCATACACGCTACAGCTCGATTTATACTTGATCTATAGTTACATTCACGTACAATTACTTAGCCATTGACTCACCACCATATTTACCAACTTATGCGTAAGAGTAGCCTAAGCTTATGCTGTGCATTCAACAATTGTTGTGCGAATGACATTGATATCCACCAGTGGGCCCATCATACAACCGCTTTCTCTCGTTTACTTTAAGGGCTACAGCATGCTGCCGCTTTTCTTTTGCTTATGAGGCATTAATAGAGCCTGGGCCACAACGTGTGGCAGCATTATACCAAGTGCAAACACGCTATAGCTTGATTGATACTTGTTTTATAGTTACATTCACATACATTTACTTCGCCATTGATTTCTGCCAATGGGCCCATCACAAGGCCGCTTTCTCTTATTTGTACAAAAGGCTGTAGCACGTAGCCGCTTTACTCTTATTTACTGTATTTTGGGGCCACAATGCGTGGCTGCATTAAGCCAAATGCAAAAAAGGCTGTACAAAAGGCTGCAGCACGTAGCCGCTTTACTCTTACCTAAGCCAAGTGCAAAAAATGGCTGTACAAAAGACTGCAGCACGTAGTCGCTTTACTCTTACCTATGTTGCACCAACATAGTCTTGGGCCGCAATGCGTGGCCGCATTCAACCAGCTTAAAGGATGGCACAGCTACATGACATATGTAGACAATAGTTATTATCTTGTTTGCTTACAATTGCTTATGCCTTAATTTTTTATACCTGGACATATACTTGTCCGCCTCTATCACATACTTGTGCACCTACAGCAAGTTAACTTGCCAACATATTATACATTATTTGCAACTTTTTCAATAATGAATTAATATTACGATAACAAGCACTATACATTGCTACGGGTACCTTTAACTAGCAATTGGCCTAAAAATAGATTCTGCAATTTGTAAAACTGAATGGCTAGCATTCGCATACGCTGTTCCGTACATCTCATTGAACCAGATTATCAATTAATCATTTATTTCTGTTAATACACTTCCTTATGCTTTCCTCTTTTGAGCTGGCAGGGCTCTTCTATCCCTCTCACCTCTGCCATATGGAGTCTATACTTCCTTTCTTCATTTTAGAGAAGCAAATTCCAAGAACTAATATAGATTACCACGTCAACTCAAAATTGAGACAAAATTTGAGATGATGATTATATCAATTAAAAAGATCTCCTTCCCCCTGATGCAATCCCGAGCAATAATGATAAACCAGATGCTTACCTTCCCCTAGCCGGAAGTTATTAGGGAGGTCAATTTACTATGACTTTCTCCCCCGCCCCGAGTCAAATGACTTATCACCGCTATAATGATGCCAGGCATGGCAAAACTTTCACTGCAAATTATCTACAAAAATTTTTTCCTTCACAGGCCATACCCCCCCCTTTCCATATACACTCACAGAGTCATATCCCTCTTCCCCAGCAAAGTGGTGAGCTGGAAAGCGCATAATGAAAAGTTCAGACTCAAAAGACCAGTGAGATGATAAAATGGGAAGAGGAGGACCCAGTAACTTATGGCCATTCTTTGGGCTCCATAAAAATAGAGTCTTTCGTCCCCAGTCACAAGAAACGTTCAAAAATTTTAACAGAGGCAATATTGTTCCTACTACAGGTGCAGATTCAAACACAAATGCCTACTTTGTGGCAGACCACCCCCTGCCGCTCAGCTCCCAGAAACCCCTNAAAAGGCTGTACAAAAGGCTGCAGCACGTAGCCGCTTTACTCTTACCTAAGCCAAGTGCAAAAAATGGCTGTACAAAAGACTGCAGCACGTAGTCGCTTTACTCTTACCTATGTTGCACCAACATAGTCTTGGGCCGCAATGCGTGGCCGCATTCAACCAGCTTAAAGGTTGGCACAGCTACATGACATATGTAGACAATAGTTATTATCTTGTTTGCTTACAATTGCTTATGCCTTAATTTTTTATACCTGGACATATACTTGTCCGCCTCTATCACATACTTGTGCACCTACAGCAAGTTAACTTGCCATCATATTATACATTATTTGCAACTTTTTCAATAATGAATTAATATTACGATAACAAGCACTATACATTGCTACGGGTACCTTTAACTAGCAATTGGCCTAAAAATAGATTCTGCAATTTGTAAAACTGAATGGCTAGCATTCGCATACGCTGTTCCGTACATCTCATTGAACCAGATTATCAATTAATCACTTATTTCTGTTAATACACTTCCTTATGCTTTCCTCTTTTGAGCTGGCAGGGCTCTTCTATCCCTCTCACCTCTGCCATATGGAGTCTATACTTCCTTTCTTCATTTTAGAGAAGCAAATTCCAAGAACTAATATAGATTACCACGTCAACTCAAAATTGAGACAAAATTTGAGATGATGATTATATCAATTGTCAACGATGGCATTAAGGACAAATCAGCAACGTTTCGTATGCCAATGCCTCTGATGCTATTCAACTGGCTAAATCCATAGGAAAAGATGCCTACCTGGATAAGGCAAACATCCAGAACCATTTAGAATTCTCACATTTCAAAGACTTTTGTTTCTAATGGGTTTCTCCTTAAAATCACAGTACTAATTTGACAAAAAATTACCCATGGGCTTACGCTCTTGTTGTAAAAAAATTCGAAAACCTTTAGTTCGGCCATAGAATGGATAGCTAAAAACAAGTGTCGGATACCTGATATCCTATACTTGCTGGATGATTTCCTCATCCTGTCCCCAACCAAACAAGAATGTCAAAAACGTCTTGAACATTTCATAGATCTTTGTCAGCTGATAGGAGCACAATCAGACAAAAAATAAACAAAAAATAAAAAATAAAAAATAATAATAATAATAATAATAATAATAATTCCCCAGCTATTGTAATATCCTTTGCCGGTATAGAACTGGACACCTCACTGCAGGAGGCACGCTTGCCCCCTGGGAAAAATCAAAAACTACCTAGAACTAGTCCATATCCAAAAGGAAAATAGCACTGCATGATCTCCTATCGACCATCGGCCTTAAAGATTTTTGCTGCTTTATTATCCCGGTCGGGAGGGCCCTTTTTAAGGCGGCTTATCAATCTCAATGTTGGGACAACCCAACCCCACTACAAAATCCGTCTCAACAATGAAGCCCGTGCGGACCTTTCTACGTGGCATATATTCCTCCTAACTTTAAATGGGCGTAGCTTTCTCTATAATGATCATTGGTCTTTGTTCCCAGTAGCTTTCATTTTCACAGACTCATCCGGAGGTCTGCCCCCTTTTTTGTTTGGGAAGATTACTTGAAAAACAAAAAAGTAACCATTTTTTCAAACAATGAAGCCTTGATTTACATTCTAAACAATTGCACCTCGAAGGATCATTCCATTATGTTACTACTGAAAAAACTTATTCTACATTGTTTAAAGAACAAAAAATTTTTGAGCCACCCACATACCCGGCGTGGACAATTGTGCTGCTAATGCCCTATCTCGGCCTAATTTACAGGCCTTCAGAAGACTGCAACCACTGGCAGATCCTCACCCTACGTCCAAACACCAGGAGAACTTACAG